CTTTGAGAGTGAGAGGATGTGGTGGGAGCAGTGGACCATGGCAATAATTAGACATTTTAGGCAGAAACTACTAAAATACACTTCTCCCACATTTGAAATATATATTGGCCTTTGTTTGGCTATCAGTTGATAACAGATAGCGGATTGTATCACCGAATAACGAATAGCAGATTGCATTAGCAGTTTTTAAATAAATGTTTAGTAAATAATTGAAAGCTTATAGTTGTTGACATTGCAAAATGACCAATAATGACATTTATTATTTAGGGTGTATTCTTTTAATAATAATATATTAAAACATTTGATATTCTTTAGTTGGTAATTTATAAATATATTATTTAAAAAAAAATACTAACACTTGATGAAGAAAGTTATAGATTTTATATTTTTCTAGAGAAATTAATCATATAGATGACATATTATTATTTATTAGCACCATAAACCAATGTAGATTGTAAAATAAATAATACAAATTAAAAAATTCTAAGTAAATGATTTTTGTGATTCCTCTATCCCAAAAAACTGCTCTAATGAGTTTTTTCTAAATTAAAATTTTGGGCCCAAAAAACTTATAAAATAAGTTATTACCAAACAGACTTAATAGCGAATTTGACGGGTCAAACCTCTCAATTAAATCCAATCTGTTAATTTATCTTCAATCCGTTATCTTCCAAACGGGGCCATTAGTAGGCAAAATTATATTTTTAGTTCTGGTGGTTTAACACCGTAGCAATTTTAATCTTAAGATTTTAACTTTTTGTTTTTTAATCCTGTAATTTAATATTTTGTTGCATTTTTTAGTCCCAAATGACTGAATTGCAACAAAATTTAAAATTATAGTACTTAAATTGCTAATAAAAAATTTATCCGAAAGATTTTCTTATTATCAATTTAAATTATTTAATTTTAAATTTTGTTGCATTTTCAGCTTCAAATGACTGAAAAACGTTGAAATTTAAAATCATAGGACCATATAGAAAAATTGTTTAATTCTTAGGACAAAAAACGTCACTGGATCAAACCAACAATAGTAAAATTGCAATTTCCGCATTATTATATAAAGATCACATATTAATTGGACAATTTAATCTGATTTATTTTCTAATAAGAAAAATTGGTCAAAGTAACTTTATTTTAAATATGTTAGATAGAGAATTTAACGAGATGTGTCAACTTAAATACATGTAA